TTTGATCCAAACATTGGTAATGTCTGACTGGGCCTCGTGTCACTTTATGTTCAACAAAGTGGGGACCGAGGTCAAAAAGATTAAGAACCCCTGGTTTAACCTACATATTTGCTACAGGGCTGCATTGAAAAATGTTAGGATTCTCCATACCATTTGGCTGGTCTTCCATTTCCTTACCATTTGTTCCACAAACTTTGCAGTTTCATATGATCTATTACGAGCTACTCAAACCCAGTTATAACCTGRATTTCTTTTAGTTCTAGTATTTACACAAATGAAATTGTACATTCATATTTATCTAAATACCTTAACAGCTTGTGCGTTCAAACACTAACCTGTGAGTGTCCTTCCAAGGTTAAACTGGCGAGTTTTATGGCCACAATGCCAACCTCTTGACACTTTATATGCTCCAGTGACTGGGTGAGCAAGTTCTGCAAGCACCCCGTCAACTCCTGGAACCCAACCATCAATGCCGGCTACAAGAGGGGAGTTAATGTTAGGATTAATTTAGATCCTGAAACACTCATTAAGTTTGAAAGGTGCGTGTGTGTGTAAATAATACAAAAACAAAACAAAAAAACATAGAAAGGACTACCAGGGTCACGTTTGTTTCTTTTTTCTTCTTCTTCTTCTTTTTTTGTAAACTTGACTTAAGTGGTCGGAGGATCTTGGCACAGTAACTAGCCATCCAGAAGACTATGCTTACAGTCTGTGCAAGACAACAATATCATAAGGTGTTTAATTCAGACACAAATATAAAAAGTGTGTGTGTGTTAGAGAGAGAAAAAGTATTTTACCTCAACAAAGAAGATTAGATTTTCTAATAAGGAGGGATGGGTTTTTAATTTGCTTCCTTTAATTTCCAATAAATCTCCTTTGCATTTATCTAATATTTCTGTAAAAAAGAAAAAAGCAAAACCATAAAGCACATAAAACAGGATAGTGTTCATTACCATTGTAGGTTTTTTTAGACATCCAGGACATGGAGGATCCTAAGTGGTTTTAAAACCAAGCATGTTTATTACTGTAAAAGAAATCCATTGTTGGCTTACCCTGAAGCTGAATGACTAGTGATTTAAAAATATTACAGATCTGAGTCTGAAGCTCTGACGACTCATCTAAGAAGTAAAATCAGGAAGAGGCAAACAGAAATTAGAATGTACACTCATCATCTGGATTTCATGTGCAGGTCAAGTCCTCTTACCCAATCCGGTGGACTCCAGCTCCTGGAGGTAGACGGAGAGCTGMAGGGCTGCAGCCTGACACTGACAGCTGCCACTGGACAGGGCCGAGGCCAGGCGAGTGGAGGGGGGGCCCAAGAATGGATACTGTTAAAAACAACAAATCTTTGTTTGCTCATAAACTAATGGTTTAGGGTTCCTACACATTTAAAAATTTTTAATTTTAGACTTCCTAAATAATTTCTTTTTCTAAAGTTTGTATCTTTTTGTAGATGTTTCTTAGTAGGGATGTCCCGATACCACTTTTTCACTTCCGATACGATACCGATATTACAACTTTGAGAAATGTCCGATACCGATATTG